TCAAGAAGCGGTCGATAGGCAATTGGGTCCCCAAGTAATAGTACTCTCGACTGAGCATCTGTTCACCCATACCAGTCCCAATCTTGGTTTGGAAGTTCAGAATGGTGCCAAAACCAAGATCACGACCTTTTCCACACTGGTAGTACTCGGTATGCTTGATACGTCCACCGCGTCCGAAAGCGTTCATACCGGCGTAGATATCTTCGTTCAGATGTAGACCCTTTTGAGCTTTAGATACCCCACCACGGGTGTTCATGTAAAGAGCGTTTAGGAAATCGGGGTGACCGTAGTGAAGCTTTCCACCAATCCAAGCCATAGAACGAGCGAATAAGGTACCGAATGTTTGTTCCTTTCCAGCAGCGAGATCACCAAGGATACCAATGTTTTCCGAGAAGATGTACTCGCGAGCACCGACGATAGCGACAGGAGGAGTCTTGAAGTCCTTGTGTCCCCATTGCGCATACGGACTCTGACTCGACACGCCCAGTTCCTCGAACTCTCCCAGGATATTCCGGATTTTCAAACACTCCTCCAGATAGTTATCCTGGTTTGCATCGATAAGTTGCAGGTACTCGCCGCGGTAGAAGATAATAGCATGGTTCTGGTTATCCGATTTTCCATCTCCGAGAATGGGGTTTCCAGGCAACTCGATTCTGAATTTCGGTCGGCGCTTGTTGGTATCCGCAACGAACTCACTATGCCCATCGATGAGCGCAGAGAAGATCCGTGGATCACCACCCTCCTTCCGAGGAGGCTCTTCTTCCAAGTACGCTATGTTGAGGTCCGGATACGCGCGAAGCAAGAACTCGGCGTTCTCTTGCTCCTCCTTGTTGAACTTCGAGTACCGCTGCATGGACACGACAAACTTGAACTTTCTACGAGCCATGCGTTCGAGCTCTCGTTCAAGTTTGTCAGTGTTACCGCCGAAAACCTGGACAACTTCGGGGTTCTCGACACGATACATGAGCTTGATCGCTTTGGAATAATTCATCATGCCGGAAACTGTACGGTATAGAGTCTGCGCGCGAAGGGAAGCCCAGATACGGGTACGAAGAGTGAACTCAGGAGCTGCACTCTTGAAACCGATAAACTGGAACGGAATATCGTCTACTTTGGATTGACCCTTTTCGTCGCCGCTGAATGGATGAGCTCCGTTGAACATCGCAGATTCCTCCGCCAGAATTTTGGTATCCTTTACAAAGTTCTCCCACTCGATAGGATGGAGTTGCTTCAAGTAGTCCAGAACCGTGACACGCGTCATCTTATCCTCCTCGCGAATAATCTCTCGAAGGGAAAAGAGAATCTGGAAGAGGGCAACTTAGCATGGCTGAAAGCAAAAAACAAACACAACTTTACCTTTTCGCTGTAATGCGGAGTTAGAACCGTGAACGTGGGCATCGCATCAACAGGAAGGGGGGGAGGCATCTCGGTGGTCATTGACTGAGCAAAGAAGGAAATTCGACGTTCAGCCTCGCTGCCGGGAGGGAAGAATTCGCCTTTGAAACCCTTGTCACGCTGGGAGATGAAGAACGGAGGAGCGCGCAAACTTCGTTTACCGCCGTCGCCGGTTTCGACCTGGTGATAGAGCAGTTTCTGAACATGGTCGATAGACAGCAGGTGCTCTCGATACATCGAAATGATGATAGCGTTCCAGATTTGCGAGACCAAGACCTAGGATATACCGGTGAGCCATGCCCGACATAGACCTACGATGCAACTCACCTTTGGCTTGTACTTGACCTCCATATCCTGACCAGCGAGCAGCTTGGAGTAAATCCGTTTCGGCAGCCTAGTGTAGATATCCTCCCAAGGCGTCCAAATACTCAAACCCAGGAAGAAACTCCGTCCAATACTCATGATGGTGTTCCAAATGATATACCACAAGAAAGTGTCCAGGAAGAACAGCACGAGGTCCATGAGATACATGATGGTTAACGTGAACGCAGCCTGGTTGGTACACAACGCGGTCCCAAAGTACTTGTCGTTACAGCCCTGGATCTTCATATTGACCATAACGCGGATGGGATCCCGGAACGAAAGAGTCAGGTAAAAGTACGATTCGGTAAACTTGCAGCCGAAGACGAGAACCCAGAGAAGAAACGATGCCGCGCGAGGTCCACTGTCGAGCGAAGGATAGGACGCAGTAAATGTCTGGCTGGCAAGATACTTTCGCGACTTTCCAGCAACACGATCCCCGAACATCCTCCCAGAAGGCATGACTGCAAACAGCAATACGGCAACCACGGAGATGAAGAACTGGACGATGCCGAGAATGAGCGCCAACTGTCCAGCGGAGCCGTTATGCACTGCGATAGCAACGTAAAACGTAGGTCCACAGGTCAGGCCGAGAGTTACCAGAAGGAAGACAAGCCGACGAGTCAAATGAGAGGTATTGTTCCAAGTCGTAGGGATGTAGGAGAATTCCGCGAGCGTGGCAAGAATCATGATGATGGATGCGACAGCGCCTCCAAGCGCCACGGCACTCCATGTCATGGCTGGCGTTGATTGTCCGTCCACTGCATAAATAGTGGGTGAATTGAAGGAGGTGTAGAAGAAGAACATCGAGATGTGAATGACCCATATACGGTTGAAATTGATTAAAAGATGGCCGAAAGAACGCTTTTCGTAGTAAGTTTTGAAGAAGGCTCTGTTCCAGTCGATCCGGTCAAACTTCATGAACCGTTGGGAGGGCGGAAGATCGACAAGGCGGGTTTTGTCGTTAAGCACTATCCGGGCGATTCCCTCGGGATACCAGAAGAGCTGGTTCACATCATCGTAACCAATAATGTCTTCGTGATCCCTTTCCCTCCGTACAAACTTGCCATCCTGCACCTCGTAACCCTGATCACGAATAAACCGATACAACGGCTTAATGACAGCTCGCAAATACAATCCCTCCGGAACTGGCTCGATCCGATTTTGACACTCGGGTGATCGGTAGTAGTCGTCGGCACATTTAAAGATAAAGCAAAGACATTCTGGGACGAAACGAACTTGGGCGGCCTCACCCCAGCAGAGCAGATAGAGTGCAATTTGGCGAAGACGGTCGTACTGAGACATATTGTTCATTGCCTGACGCCACCGCTCCAAAGCAGTTGAGAGAGATTTTTCATGAGGGGGCCGTTTACCGCCGCCTCGCTTTGACTTCAAGCGGGTGAGCCCAGGATTCTGCACTTGACCTATGGCATCGTCGAGGTCAAGTTGAGCGGCGAAATACCATTTCCGATAGTTGGCATTATGACCACCAATATAATCGGCGTGCAACGTGAGTAAGGCCTGATTGGGTGACATTCTGGAGGCTCTACTGTCAAGTAGCTGCATTAGGAAATCGAACTACAGAAAAGGTAAGAAGCACGCGAAACATGAGGTTACTATTCAACTTGCCATGTTCCGCATCGAGTCCCGCTGGAAACCAAACTTTTGAGTAAGATCCAAAAATATATCCTCTATTTCTTCCTTGGACAAGGGAATTTGCCTGTCTGACGACCAAGCTGGGTATGAATCACGGGAAGCAGACGAATAGTCCATAAAGGTTGGGGTTGAAGCAGCATCCGAATTTGCCATTCTGGGACCAAGTGACTCTGCCGAAGGTGCAGAGCGTTGACCATAAACATCACCATCCGAATCAGTATCTTGTGAAGCTGAAACTGGGAGGTGAGAAAGCGTCGAAAAAAGAGAAAAATCTTATGCAAGGCTCACGGTATGGGTCGTAAGGCGTATTGTGGTCATAGAAACCAGATTCATTGAGAGGCCCAACACTATTATCCGAAGTATAAGTGTCCCTTCTGCTGAAATCTACAGAGTCATTGTCGTAATATCTTTGGTTTGACTGAGCGGCGTGAGCTGACGTGGTGAAAGGATCTAGATGTTGACCGTCAACTGAGGGCGACGAGGACGACGGATAGCCCTCTTGACTGCCCCGCGCTGGTCTGGCGGGCATGGATGATGGTAGGGAAGAAAAAGATAATATGCAGCTGTTTATGACGTGCGCCAAACATCCAACATCGCTTCCGATTATGTAAGCACGGCAATTTTCACGGCCTGGTGGCCGCTTCTAAATTTGGAATCTCGGGTCCTTTCTCTTCGCCTCGATACCATCCGCAGTGACCCTGTAATTATTTTGTGAATTTTCTGAGCTCTGTACTGACTGTTTTTTCACTCAGATATTCAAGTCTTATCGACGCCCAATGTCTCTACTAGGCTGCTTTCATTTCATATGACAGACAGGAGATTCAAAATTCTGGCTGCCGGGTTTCAACTATAGCCAGTGATAGAATATGTAAGCTTTTAGCGACGTTCCTGGGTTGTGAGGTTGTTGAATTACCCGCTCTCAATCCAATTGAGGCACATCAATACGACGCCTCGTCTTGTCTTCAAAGACGACCGTGTCGGAGTTAACGGTCTAGGTGAGTCGAACGGAATCGAAAACTTGGTAACTAGTGCCAGCTAGTACTTGTCTGGAAGTCGAACGAGCAAGATGCGCGCCGATTGTTAGGCAAATAGGACCATATGCAACTATGGTCATAGGTTTTTGAATCGAGGCTAGAAGCCTTTACACTCAGAGGCTTTCCCCGACCAACCTCCGCAGCATAGTTTGCGGGTGAATCCCACCGCAGACTCAGATTCCAAATATCGTCCAACCGAGTTCCGTGCGGAATAATTCATATTTCGCCAAGACAATTCGAGCTTGGGCAGAGAGGCCATCGATAGATAAATTGTATTTCCTTATACAACGCAGTGGATTCATACCAATCCGATAAGTCTGGGAACATGGAGCGCTAAGACTGACACCCTCCTTGAGATAGCATCTGACAAGCACTGAAGAGACACAGCTTGGACGGTGGCGTTCTTGCATGAAATCAAGTACATATAACGCAACTCGTTGACGGTCCGTGGACATGCGGATACTAGCTCTTTCCAAGATGATTGTATTGTTGAGGGACTCTTCGGTCGATAAATAATATAAGACAAGATTATATTTGTCCGACCACTAAGATAAAGCTTCCTTAGCTCAGTCGGTAGAGCGCGAGTCTCATAGGCGTATGAGATCCGATAGGATTGTAATCTCGAGGTCGCAAGTTCGAGCCTTGCAGGGAGCATTGACACAGTCTGTCTTTGATTTTTTTCAGTGTTTTTGATAAATTGTCACGACTTTGAAGGTTGCAGGGAATCATTGAGGTTACGCGGAATGCGGAATAATTACATAGCAAAGGAAGTTCGAAATTAGGCATCGGGATTCGGGCACCCGGCGGCCCGGCCAAGAAGTATATCTGCCTCTTTGAATCTTTCCTCTGACCATCATCTCTGCAATGCCGCCACAGCACCCATAATATCCCAGCCCACCAAGCGTCTTCTTCGAGGTTCAAAGCAGACTCTCAATATCAGCCGGTGTGATTGCAGCACTGGGGAGAGTAGCTGGATACACAAGAAGTTCAGCGTCTATCGTGAGCTTTACAAGAGAAGGAGCGTTTGGGTATCAAAGGACTATGCAAGGATATAGGAGCTCGCAAAGGTGGCGTGGAGGCCGCTCTTTTGCTACCAATCAATTGGCAACTATCCCCTCAGGTAAATTCATGTTTCTTGTGCTCTGGTTTGCCACTCGGCTCCCCCTGTATGAGACTAGCTCTCCCTGGTACAACCAACATTTTTGCAATAACAGGACAACAATTTATTTCACGAGACCGGCGCCTATAAAGTAAACAGCTCCGGAACGGATTCCGTACAATTCGTAAATTTCGATAGACTCGGAGTCCTGACCCTCTTCAAGTTGGACTTGGATGTCAACCCGCTTCCTTCTAGGTTTTCAAAACAAACCGAGCATTTACTTGCGGTCTTGGCGTCAGCTCTCAAAGAAGCAAGATGCAAAGAACGGACAAAGCAAAATGAGTTAATAACAAGGCTAGTCGCCAAAGCTCCCAGTCTCGAAGAGGAAGTATTTTGCTCCAAGTTTTGTTGGTTTTTGACTTTACACATCAGCAGGCGCTCTCAACTACCCAACGTAGATGTCGCAGCTCAGCAAGACATGATAGCATCTATATGGGAGAATTACGGCCCTAGCCTTCGCTTTGGGATTACGGTCATTCAACAGGGCGAGACTGCTACTCATGGATATCACGCAGACCTATGTCTAGCTTTGCCAGTCTAGCATACGGAGAGATGATGAAGGCTCTCGTGCAGCCTGATGTCGGACCAGGTGTTTCCTATCTAGTTGTCCACACGTATTTTCCACTGGAGAAGCCTATGATTTTGAGACACAATAGGTATAATAATGTGTCTACTCATTGAAACCTCTCAATGGAAAAACTCGCAGGAGTGTGCAGAGCTTTTTCACTTCATTCAGTATTTGCTGGGTGTCACTCCATCTGTCAGCCTATGGCTATTGAAAAACCAGCAGGCGGTCTTTCCGGCAGCCTGCATTTACTAGAAGGCAATTTCGACAGGCAACTGAAATTAGAATCTCTGCTTTAGCAGTTCCATTCACCCTCGAGTGGAAGAAATCCCGCTTGGAAGTTGGCAGTTTAATGTGAATTTGAAAGATCTCCTGGGTCATGGCCAAACACTCAGGTGCGGCGGGATAAATCAGACCTTGCATAGCCCCTAATGCCTGAGGTTTGAAGCCTGAGCGCATGCTTGCTACTTAAGGGGAGAAGTGCCAGCGTCCAAGTAGTTCTGGCAATTCAGGGTGTCTGGTGATCGTTCGCTGGATGATGGTCACTAGAGAATATCTGCTAAAATTCGGGTTCATTGAGTGGAGTCCTTCCAAACCCTAAGCCTTGAAGGTGACCTTTCAATTTGCTGCATTTTTGAAAATTGAGCCCACAGAAAACTATGTTCTCGGTGAACTGTTCTCTTCCTTTCTCAATGCAAGACTCGGCACCCAAAAGGATTAAAATTTTGCATATATTCCCTTCTCGTTCGAATAGTATTTGTCTCGAATTCGGTGTTCTCCGGTGAAAGCACCTAAATGGTACAGTAAATACAGTAACGAAATATTAGTCGACGCTGGCACAAGAGGTTCGAGTTCGAAATTTTCCGGGTTAAGCAAGAGCGTCCAAAGAGCATCTAAAGCGGATGTACGATGCCTACGCCCAACAATCAAACTGCGTTCTAACACGAGTCCCCTGATAATTAATGCAACTTTGCATGGCAGTCAACTTCACACCCAGAGCTAAAATTTTATTTTCTATTCCTTGCTCCGACAATGTCTCTGGCAACTTCCCTTCACTCAAAAGGTCAATTCTTTAGGGCAGTTCATCACAATCGCATTATTTCAGGAGTGTTCATCTTGGAGTGCCACTTGACGGACAAACCAACACATCTTCGTCCTTGATTCTGTCATGATATCTGATGGAGGGAATAACATTTTGTCCCTGCACCCAATCTGACAACTCTTGAAATCTGCTTGCGTCCTTCCAACACCTCTCACTCTCCTTTTACTTCGAACAAAGTCAGATGCACGCCAGCTTTGTTATTGGCTGCGACATAAGTGTAATTCATTCATCACACTTTCCGTGTCTTGGACCGACTCCATCTTCGGTTCCATGTATGTTTCGTCTTAGTTCAGGAGAATATATTCTTCGCAGATAGAATCACGGCACTGAAACTTGAGAACCTTCTACTTTCCGTCGTCCGATGTTGAAGCTCTCGATGTGGATGAAACTATTTGGCAATCCCGTGGGAACTCAGTGGTTCCGGAAGAACACGACACGTTTCGGTGATGCCTCCAGATCCAACAAGTTTAGCAGGCGCTGGATGTTTAGAGTGCTGTCGCGGTATGCGAGATATACTGTACAGACTCCACTGTGTGTGTATAGGATAGAATAGACTAAACCGAAATCCTTGACAGTCTTGGAGGTATTTTTTTTTGTCAATCACACTCTCTGTACTGAGCTGAATGAAACTTGTATGGAAGCTCAACATACATTTGTGGAAAGGAAAACCCGTGGCAGGCTATCCAAGGTGGAACTAGGCTTATGATGCATCTTTGTTACCTTTCACCCTTTCAAGCCGCGACTTCTGTCCTTCCTTCGGTAAATCTCTTCTCGACGCTATGGGCAATGCTGCGTTTATCAAGTCCGAGTACATTTTTCAGATTGTATGTAACTTTGTCAATGCCCGGAAAGCATTCGACAATCCAACTTGAAAAACAAAAAATGACATGTTCAAGAACATGTTCTGATGCGTTTCTTGCCGGCGGTGTACATACTTAATCCATTTCCTGGCCTAGCAAATCATGATGTGCTCAATTTACCGGCGCATCAAAGACACATCCATCGGAGTTGCTCAATGGATCCTAACTCAACTCTTAATGAGCTTATATATTTGGTATTGCTTTAAATCGTACATTATGAAAAGAGACTGGATTCCTCACTCGATAACCACAGAGGGTGCACAACCTCGGAGAGGATCGCGTTCTTCCGGGATCCACCGAGTTCCTGTGTGGTTGCCAGTTAAGCTAGCGGTTTCTGGCGGCCAAATTAGTTTCATCCACCTCGAACTTCATGCCGGCGAGCCTTTCCTTGTTCTTCTTCCGAATCTGACTTACCTGCTGCTCAGTCGCGACAAAATCTGTTAATTGCCACGATTTGTCGGCCCGGCTGCACTCGCCGGTGAGCATTGCTTGCTTGAGATCGACAGGCTCTTGTAGAGACAACGCATAAAGTGGGATTAAGAGTGTCTGTCCGCGGAAAGAATCGCACGAGGATCTAGGGCTAAGTATAACGTTTCATGTATCAAGTTCTACTCTAACTTCAAATGTGCATGATACTGATGATAAGTATTCTATGTCCTCGGTGCAGCCTCGGTGCTTAGGTATCGGAAAATGAAGTGACAGTGATCGCACTTATCGGATATCCTTGCTATAAAGGTTGAACTGCTTACCAAGATTGCTCTCATTTCCCTCAAGGAGCAAAGTCTTCAAGATGCCAATCACAGAACCTGCTTTATGCTCGTTTGGCTTGATTCTAAACCCTTCACTTATTATGTTGGTTGTGAGTAAATTGATGGCTAGTCGGTGTCACTTCCGATCTCAAAAATTGTTTCAATCAGTTCGAAGCATTATTTTATGGTCAGCCCTGGTAACGGAAAATCAACCTGGGCATTCATACTTATATGATGAAAATCTTCAGGTGCATACATAATCATCTTAGGTCTTTACGCGTACCTTCAGGTTCAACAACAGGGGCGGCAGCGCTATTATCAAATATCCCTTTCCCTCCTTTTTCTCCTGAGCACTGCCTCTATAGCTATTTCAATTTTGAATTTTCAACAGCTAACCTTGATGTGCTTCTACTCTTCTCTTGAAAGCTATGAGGTACTGATGACAAAAATTCAAAACCTTGAGTATGTGTACAGTGTTTCTTTCATCTCCAACCATTTGCCATAGATTCATACCGTGATTTGACCACTTTAGCATTGCAATGGAGGGTATTTATACTACCTCCAAGTAAGTTTGAAACAGTAGGGTTTTCTCTTCAATATCGGATGCTTAATGTTGTTCTGATCAATGATAGTATTGTGGCGGATAGCTTACTTGTCAGTCAATATACACTTTTCCTACCACTTCTCCTGGTCTTCTAACTATACCAACCTTCTTCCAGTTGTATCGCTGCTCTGTCGTGTGGACCTCCAAAAAATGGGTCATAATCGGTCCCATTATACTATCTGCAATTAACGCCGGTGAGTAGTGGACTCCATACTGAGAAAACGGATGGCTCTAAAGGTTGGCTTAGGAATGGCGATCACATCAGTTATTCTATTACAGCACACAATCGAGTTTAAACTGTCAGCATCTTACCAGGACCTGTTCATAACAGGGACATATCTCTTTAAAGCATTCTTGGGAGTGAACCTTTTCACAAATTTGATTCTGACAGGTCTCATAGGTAAGTCCATTGCACTGTATTGAAAGAAGTTTGTCATGCATTTTGTAATCCAGCCGGAAGATTGTGGTGGATATCTCGTGCCACTCGGCATCATTTAGGGCCTGATTCAACTTATAGCAAGAGGATGAATAGAATTATTGCGATTATGTTTGTCTTAACCCTTTAGGTGTTTTTTGAACTCATGCTCATATACCATTTCTGGACTAATTTGTCAG